CTGGAGTTGTACAGCATGAGCATTGTCCACAGAGAAATGAAGAAGTTCCTCGCAATGAGCTGGGGGTTGTATTCCTGCAGGACTACGAATGTAGCCCGCAGAAAGTGCTACAGGAGGTGCAGCTCAACCTGTAAGAGCTGTCAACTGCTGGGAGGCAGGTCTGTCTCCATTTTTAGAGAGCTGATGTGTCCACAAAGTCAACCACAACAGGCAAAAGAAAGGCTTTTCTGTCCCTCAATGAGGTAGGCAAAGGTGAACCTGAGACACAACTGTACAGGGGGGGTCACTTTAAGCAGGAGTGTCAGATACTTCCTGGAGCTGCTGCCTGAGGCTAACTGCTGTCCTGATGCCCTGCCTGCCTGAAGTGCTTCTGGATGGCCTTAAATGCGATTCAGTGTCCAATGAATGTGGATGCTCTATTTTGACATAGCTATTTCAATGGGCATTTGCTGTGTAGATGTGCTATTTCAAAATAAGCTATTTCAGAGTACAGGCCATCCTCGCTATAAGTCCAAGACATGTTCAAAAATATTTGTCTTAAAGCAGAGAATTTTTTTGCCATGGCTGACTTCCATTTGCACAATTGTTTTCTTTTGGTTATTTTTGTGTGACTTAAGAGTGAGGAATAGAAGGACTTATAATGCATCAGTTCCTACAAGCGTAAATGACTTTACTACAGAACAGATGTATACCGGGGCAATTAATAGTGCAGATGCCCTGTATTTCTTCTGGAATAGCTTATTCCAAAATAATCATGCAGTGTTGATGTACCCTAATATGTCTATTAGGGATGTTAAATTTCAAGTAATCAACTAATGGAATAGTCGATAATGCGCCTCCACCTTTGAAGTGGAGCAACAGTTCTGGGACTGTTCCTACACTTCAAAGATGAAAGTGCTGCAGGGAGCATGGGGCCAGCGTGGCAGTCCCCCGCTGGCCTCGTGCTCCCCATGCCATTTCAAAACAGCAGTGCTGCTTGGAGCCTAGAATCAGCTGGGGACTCCCCCCGCTGACCCTGCGCTCCATGCAGTGCTGCTGCTGTGAAACGTCATGGGGAGCCCAGCATCAGACTCCACACAGTGTTTCAAAGCAGCAGTGCTGCACGGAGCCCGGAGTCAGCAGGGAAGTCCCCAGCTGATCTCAGACTCCACGCAGTGCTGCCACTTTGAAACACTGTGTGCAGCCTGGGGACACCACAGCTGGCTCCAGACTGCATGCAGCATTTCAAAGTGGCAGCACCGCATGGAGCCCGGGGTCTGGCCCCAGGCTCCACGTGCTGCCGCTTTGAAGTACCCCTCTTTTCCCCGCCCCCATTTCCTCCTTCTGATAGAAGCAGCAAGGGGCAGGGAAGCGACTAGTCGACTAGCCTATCAAATACTCATTCACTTTCCTAACGTCTGTATCAACATTATGTGAAAATTGCTACACAAAAGTATGTTTTCAAGCAACCTGGAAAAAAGAAATACATAACTTTGCAGAAACACCTGTGGATGAGACTACAATGTTTGGTTACACTTGGGAGTTGTATAGCCAAAATTTAAAGAAAGCATTGGGCATAATGGCTCTGCATTAGTCATCAGTGACTATCCCTCTGATAGTAATCTAAGGCAGCGGTCTCCAAACTTTTGGGCCTCCACTGAAATTTGATTTGTCCTTTTCATATGTGTTCTTTTTTTAAATTGTATCCTTTGGTATATATGGTTGTGACTATTTTCTTCCACTATTTGATCTGAGGAAGTGGGTCTGGCCCACGAAAGCTCATCATCTAATAAACCATCTTGTTAGTCTTTAAAGTGCTACATAGTCCTGTATTTTGTTTAATCTGCCTGGACACTCATTAATGGATCTCTAACTCACTGTTTTGTTTCAGGCCAATTTCACAAGCTAAATACACAGAGAAGAGTAGGAGCTTAACTTCATTTACAAGTTTAATTCTTATGCAAATAGTATAAACAAGTGTAACCCATGCAGATTCAGCACTCCACCCAGAAGCTTCTGGAGTTGGGTCCAGTAGTTTGGGGTCAGACTCCATGAGCAAACAGGCAGGGCAGATGCTTTTCTAAGGCTTGTGTGAGCTGGAAGAAGCTAAGCCAGGAGCAGAGAACTGGCTGCTGTTCCTCACTCTGCAGCAGGTAGTGATGTTAACCCCTTACCAGATCATGGGCAATACTCCTTAGAGCTACTACTTAGAACTACTTACAGCTAGGAGAACCTAGGAGGGGAAATAACTTCTGTGTTAATTGTCTGCTTTAAATGCTGTTTTGATTTTAGCCAAACTGTTCTAGTTCACTTTCTCAGTCACTGTGATTCTTCAGCTCCTCTGTAAATGTAGCAATGGGGAGTCATTTCTGTTTTGTTATTCTTAGTTTTTGTATTTTATTGTAACAGGGTTTTCTTTAAGCCTGTTCACTTGTGAGCTAATTGACTACCGTATTTTCCGGCGTATAGGGCGACTGGGCGTATAAGACGACCCCCTATCTTTTTAATTAAAAGATAGGGTTTCATCTTATACCCCAGCGCCCTTCCGCCTCCTTTGCTCCCGGTGTCCCTGGTCTGCTGGAGATGGTCCCCAGCAGACCAGAGGCACCGGGAGCAAAGCCGCCAGGAGCGCCTGGGG